CCAATCATTAAAAAGTATTGTGTGGTCTCACTTATTTGAGGTATCTAAAGTAGTCCAATTCATGGAAATAGCAGAACTGTGTTGAGAGGGAGGAGGAAAAGTTGTGTTGAATTGTTAGAGTTTCAAATTTGTAGTACGAAAAAGTTTCTGGAGATCTGTTTCACACCAGTGTAGATATACTAAACACATCCAAACCATTTGATGGTTAGGATAATAAATGTTACATATTTTTAAAATTCAATTTCTAAAAAACCTGTAGATGGAATCTTCATTGACAAAATATTCCCAGCATGATGTGTGAAAGCTCTTGAACTTTAATAAGAAACTAGGAAGCCAGGATACTCAGCATCACTCCTTAGTCCATGTGGTGATGAAAACTACCCACTTTGCCTTTGAAAAATGTTTTCAGTCACTCCATTAGTAGGACAGTAAACACATTTCTCCCGAATTTAAAGAATCAATAACTGTTTATAACTCTTTTTCCATCAAAATTCTGTGATGATTACTTGCTGGAGTATAGATCTGATTAATTACTTATGCAGTGACATATTATTACTAGAACCTAGTCACTTAAAAACACACACATCTCTTATCCCACAGCCTCTGCCAACTGTCTGGGTGTGGTTTCACTAGATTCTCTGCTTAGGGTCTCACAAGTATCAGGGAAAGTTATCAGCCAGAGTCTGGTCTCATCTGCAGTTCAACTAGGGAAGGACACACTTCTAAGTTCATATGGTTTGGGGCTACATTAGTGCATTGCAGCATTCCAAACTAATGGCCTCAGTTTCTTGCCAGGTATTGGTCAGAAGGTACCACCAGTTGCTTGTCATGTGTCATCCTGAAATGTTCTCTTGTTTCTTCAAAGGCAGCAAAATCGATAGCACAATCTTATGTAACTAATAATGTGCATGTCATCATGTATACTCCTTCTTATCTACCAAATTCTATGGGTTAAAGGCAAGTCACTCAGCCCACCATGCCTGCCTGGGGGTAAAGATGATGCAAGAGTAGGAATGTGGAGGTGAGGATAAAAGGACCCAATCTAGAGTTTGTCCACCACAAGCTGGAAGTTAGATAATAAGATGCCTTGTCTAGGAGGAGTAGAAGAATAATTGGCTTAGAAACAAGATGAACTGAGTGTTAGAATTTATTATGATTTATCAGGCTGCTAGAGTAAGCCAGGATCTGTTCCAGACTTTCCTTAACAAGACTCTCCATCTATAAGTATCTCGCTCATTTCTCTCTAAGTCCCTACTAGGGCAGCACTTGAGAACACCACTTGAAGTAGTAAGGAAATAAATAGTAGAGACATGAAAAATTGATCCAAGTTTTAAAAAAAGATGCACTGCAAAGGCCAGGCTTTAAAACACCACCTCTACCACCACCACATGGTACTAACAAATGAAAGATAACAAAGAAGACCCGATCTGGGCTGAAATTAAAATAGACTGGAAATGAAATGAAACATTTCCAAAACTGCTCCTCTGATACTACCTTCCAGAGTGATACTTCAAGAAGCTCCACAGAATGATCCTCCAAGGAGCACGCTGAAAATGTTGCTTAAAAAACAACCCTGTAAATGCTCTGAACGTTCTAAGGGCAGACAGCAGACGAGGAAACATCCATTCAAGGGAATGTATGAAAACTGGGTGTGAAAAATGAGAGTGTGGAGTTTGAGTCTAGTCCACTTCCTCACTCCCCGATCCAGCTCATCCAGACTCTGCTGCGGTTGCTTCCACCAGTTATGCAGGGTTCCCTTCACCCCAGATGCAGGTGGAGGAGGAGGAACGTCCCCACCTACCCTCTTCCAGCAGCACATTCTTGAACTTTCCAGTCTCCAGAAATGTGAGACAAATAAACCTCTATTCTCTATAAATTACCCAGTTTCACTTATTTTGTTACAGTAACAAAAAACAACTAAGACGGTTTTCCCACTTACCCTATGTCTATTCCTGTCCTCTCTGTCTGTAGTTTTTCCAGACTTAGAAGAGCTGTTGATTTTCATTTTGTACAGATTTTTCTTGTGATGATGAGTGACTACCATCCAAGCTCTAAGCTTTTTAAATGTTGGACTAGAAAGCTCTAAGTCACTGAAAAATGTCCTCTTTCATACACAAGAGACCTACCCTAATAAGTCTGGAAAAAAGGGGTAAGGTCTGTTTTGTCTCAGACTCTCCACAGTTACACCATTAGTAGTGTTTGTTAGTAGTGTTCGCTGTACATGATTTTTATACTCCTCGTGTGGAACACACATATACATCTTAACTCCTTTTTTTTTCTTCCTCTCCCTCCTCCTCCCTCCATCCCCCCTACATCTCATGGTCCCCTTCCCATCTGAGAAAGATCCTATTATTTGTCTTTTATTTTGCTGTTTATTTATGATTTGGGTTTCTCACATATGAGAAATTATGTATTTAAATTTTCTGATTTATTTCACTTACCATTATTGTTTCCAGGGGCATTCATTTTCTTATTAGTGACTCAAGTTCATCTTTCTTTATGATGGAATAGTACTCCGTTGTGTGTAAATACCACATTTTCTATCCATCCGTTTATGGACATATAGGCTGCTTCTAGAATCTAGCTTCTATGGATTGTGCTGCTAAAACAGGGTATGCATACATCACTGTAAAATGATATCTTTACCTCTTTCAGGAAGATAACTAGAAGCAGAATTGCTGGCTCAAATGCAATTTCTGGTTGTTGTTTATTGAGGGATTTCCATTCTAATTCCATAGCGGTTGTACTAGTTTACATTTCCACTAACAATGTAGAAGTGTTCTTTTTCTTCCTGCGACCTCATGAACATTCGTTATTATATTTGTTTTCTTGATGATGGTCATTGTTTCTAGAGTAAGATAGAATCTCAGTATTGTTTTACTTTGCATTTCTACAATGGCCAGGGATGTTGAACATTTCCCCAGGTATTTATTGGCTATTTGTACTTCTGTGATGTGTCTATTTATTTCAGTTCCCCATTTTTTGACTGGGTCTTTTACTTTGGGGCATCTAAGTTTTTTAGTTTTTTTATATATTCTAGATATTAGTCCTCTGACAAAAGAATGAAAGGCAAAATATTTTCTCATTCCCTAGGCTCTCTTTTCACTCTGTTGGTTATATCTTTTGCTATCCAGAAGCTTTTTAACTTGTATGATCCCTTTGGTGATTTCCTATGCAACTGGGGTTCTGTTCAGAAAGCCCTTGCTTAATGCCTAAGACTTCCAGAGGGATTTTTTTTTCAATCTTTCATCAGATTAGGTGTTTCTGTTTTGACATTTAGTTTTGTCTCAGACTCTCCTCTTTTTAACTTCTTCTCTTCCTACACTCACTCTGTTACTTCAGGATCCTTCAAAGTCAGTTTAGTGTTAAAGAATGGTCATTATAAACAAGGACCATTGTCTTCTCTGTAGCAAATGCTCAGTGCTTGTGTGTTCAGTCATTCAGTACATTTTTGGACTCCCAATCTGGGAATCCCAGCACTGATATACCCTGAATTCCCATTCAGCTTTCTCTCTGGCAGTTGACTTCACAAATCCTTGCTCTTTTGTGAGATTTGCTTCTCTTTCCATTCTTTCTACTACAATGGCCTCTCTCCTTTTTAAAAACCATTCCATCTCAGTGTTATGGGTTGAATTATGTCCCTCAAAAATGATACACTGAAGTCCTAACCCTGGGTACTTGAACATTTGACCTTCTTAATGATTTTGTCTGAGTAGCTAAAACATTGGAGCTGAGTTCTAGTCATAGCAAGGGATTTTTTTTTTTGTTTTGTACTGGGGATCTAACTCAGGACCTTGCACTTGCGAGGCAAGCAGTAGAACCACTGATCTAAATCCCTGGCCCAAAGGAATTCGAATTTTATGTTTTAATTTTCATAAATAATATGTTGTTTGATATTACATTTATAGGTATCAGTTGTGTGTAACTGAGATCATTTGATATGAAGGGCATACGGGGATTGCTAAGATACTAGATAGTAAACAGTTTAGTGTAGGAGGAGGAAATGCCAAATATGGTGGAGGGATCAAAGATGGACCACCTGTTTCCCAGGAAAGAACAATTTTTCCATTTTCTTTATCTCTGTCAGATCATAAAGTATAAAAGATTAGAGGTGGTGAGAAACCTGGAGTTTCTGGCTTCCCTAGAGATGCAGAAATTAAAACTGTAAATAAACAATTGATAAGGCTGTTGTTTTAGAGGGGATTTGTGCCTCCCTTCTGTTTCTACATGTATGAAGAAAAAGAACTAACCTAAAAAAAAAGAAAAGTTGCTGTTCATATGCATAGCCACGATTGTAGTAGTTTTTGCTAAGAACACACAGGCTGCTATAAAATATCTAAGCTCACACACAACCATTTTATTATTTTACCTCCTTTCACCTTTCAGACTTGTAGGAAACATTTTTGTAGCCAGCAGAGGAACAACTCTACTCCATTTAGTGCAGGGTGAGAAGAGCAAAGCACTCATTCTATTTCAGCATATTACCTTTTTATTCTTGATTTTGACATTTTAGATAGAATTGGATGTGAAAATACAGTTTCTTATTGGTTGTTTATATATATAGTGTATTAGTTTCTTTTCTGAAGACAAATCACTTCAAAATTTACTGGATTAAAATAAGTTATTTTATTTCTAATAGCATCTGTGGATCAGGAATTCAGAACAGGGCACAGTGTGGTTGGCTTGTCTCTGCTTTATAAAAATTAGAACTCCAGTTGAAAGATTCAGGGATTAAAATATTCTGAAGTCTCATCCTTCCTGTGTTGTTGCTGCTAAAATTATTGACTGAAACACTAACAGGTATTTTCAGTAGGAAGCAGTTTACTACTGAGCAATGTTCTAATCTTTGAGTGGGTTCCTGTGTAATTCTGAAAGATCATGTCACTGCTCTTCTGATCTATTTCCAAGATTTATATCAACACTGGTATATTACTAGTAACTAAACTTTACACTTTTATCCACTTGTCACTAATTGTCCCATTAAATGTTTTCTCTTGTAGAATGCCATGTCGGAGTTTATATCCTTAGGTTCCTTTTAGCTCTGCCAGTTTCTGATCCCCCCCACACCTCATAATCTTGACTGGAGAAGAACTGGATAAGTATTTTGCTCGTTTCTTTTTTTACTTGATTTTAGCCAAAAGGCTGAGAAGTGATTTTTTTTCATGGTTAGACAGATTATGATTTGGGGTGCCTTTTGGGTTTTTTTAGAAATGGATTCACTGTTTCCAGAGTCTACCTAAACAAAAGTAAATTTCTTTTCACTCTTCTATTTAAAATATCTTCAGTTTTCTTTACTGTCTACAGCACAAATTCCAATTACTTGGTATGGAACACAAAGCTTTTCAAAATGAGGCTCTGGTCTTCCTATTCAGTTAAAAGTCCCACTCTGCAACTGAGGTCCAGCTAGAAACGAAGCCCTAATGTTCTTGGCAATGCCCTGGTTCATCTAGGTATTCATTCCTGATTAATTGTACTGGGTTCTCTTTATCCCCAAGAACATTTCTTAATCCTGCTCTCCTCCTATTAACATCCATGTTCTTTCCAACTTCCAAGCCTCTTGACCTACAGATTTCTAAATGACTCTAACAGAGTAATGTGTGATCATTCACTCATAAACAACTATTCAACTGTGTTTTGTAAGAGGCATTACTGTATGGTTGAGAATATGTTAAAAAGACAAAAATCATGGCCCTCCTTGAGTTTACACTGTAGTAAACCGAACACATTGACAAAAAAAATCATCTTTTCCTTTAGTTACAGAGGAAAGAAGCTGAGATTTTGATATATGAGCAGTGTGGAGTGAAGGACAGTATTACATAGAGTGGACTGGGACCATGTCATGAAAAATATTTTGATTTACTTGTCAGCTGCCAGACATTCCTCCCTTGATCCAAGAGGCAGTCACAGGTTTGTGTTTCTAGAGCCTGGTTCAGCCTTATTTGTTAACTAACAGCTGTGGACTAAAATGCCTACAAAGAACCAAGTAAAAACTAAAGCTCTGTTGCCTCCATTGTTCATCCTTTATCTACCCACAGGACAGGTACACCGCATACCTGTTTTTGTAAACCGAAGGCCAACACACCTCCAAGAGTCGCATTTGCGTCAGATATGATAACAAGGAAATTGACAGCAGTCATTACTAGGAAGCTGGTATGGACTTCCTATGTAAGTTTTAATTCAGAGTGAAATATGATCCTCCAAAAGGACATCTTTCTTTTCTATAGTTGAATTTAAGCCCGTAAACCATTAGTGGGGAATTCACACTTTGTAAATTCTGCTTGGAGAATGAGGCTCTACGGCAACTAGTCCTCTAAGGTGATCCGGGCATTCAGAAGGAAGGGGGAGCATAACTGGTTTCGTAAACAAGGTGACAGTTAACTCCCACCGGCCTCTCTAACCACCGCCATATATTTCTACAGGAACCGACCTAGCGACCACACCCCGCCCATTTCCGGGTTGTCGCAGCTGCTGCCGTCGCGTGCGTAATGACGTTGCAGTCTCCCGCAGACCCCGGAAGTGCAACTCGAACTTGGCCGGGGTGCGGATCCCGAGAGGGAAAGTCCTGACGACCTACCGCACGAGGGAGTTCCTCCAGCGAGCTGGAAGGCCACGCCTCCTCCCGCCTCCCCCCGCAGCCCTGTAGCTGGGGGCAGAGCTCAGGTAGGAGAGGAGTCTGCGAGGATCTGAGCTACGGGACAGGCCTGGGTTCCACCCGAGTAGGGGACTGGCTTCGATCGGTCTCAGGCGGGGAAAGCTGGCCTTGAGGTCCGAGGCTGTGAGAAATTACTCTTCGTTTGCAGGGGACACCGCTGACCTGCGTCCCAGACACTGCTAATGGGCAGTTTGCACTTGCGATTTCCATTGTGGAGGCAGGAGGGACACACGTGTGTTCCCTGGACACTGGCTTTATGTCTGAGGTTATGAGTTTCTGGGAGCCTCTAGGGACCATAGGGGGACACAAGTGTGTTCCCTGGACACTTGCTTTGTATCAGAGGTTATGAGTTTCTGGGAGCCTCTGGGACCATAGAGGGACACAAGTGTGTTCCTTGGACACTTGCTTTGTACCTGAAGTTATGAGTTTCTGGGAGCCTCTGGGACCATGGCGTAATAGGCCCTCAGGCAGGTATTGCAGGTTTCTGTTTGAAGTCTTTCTTTTCTCTTCTCTTTTTTCTTAAAAGAAAGTGTTACCAACTGCAAACAGATTGAAGTGCAGCTATAAAATGGTTTCAAAATTTAGCATGCGTGGCCATTGATACGATGTTTCACTGGGATGCAGTATGAGTGCTTAGTCGAATACTTTTGACTTTGAAATAAAGTTAGGCATATTTTCGAAATAGGCGTGTCACTCTCACATCTAGGTATTTAATGTACTCTTATAGTGTTCCAGAGTGTATATCTGTTGGGCCAAGTAACTGACTACTTATCTTTTGGCTATAATTAAGGACGAGCTGAAAAAAGAAAGAAAAGGACAAGCAGTGTTGCATTTGTTGAGTACTCAAAAAGTCATAGAGGGAAAATTCTGTGGTTTTCATTTACAAGTGCCTTGTAATGTTTATCAAAATAAATGTAATGCGATGTTTGTCAGATAGCATATGGTTTGCTATAATTAAGCAGCGTCAGCAGTATATTGTTATTCTTTATCTTTCCTAGTGAGGGACAGTTATACTGTATTCATTTAGCATATTTAGAAGCTGAATCAGACAGTACTTTTTCATGTGCTTAATTTAGATCTCAGTGTCAGTTCTAGTACTAGTTTTCTTTTTGACTTTTAAATTAAGTGTTCATGCTCCTTAACCAACAAAATCCACACTGAAGGACTAAAGATACTTGGATGGCTTTGAGGCTGTGGCTGTTTCAACATTTGTAAGTGGTGGAATAATGTCAGGGAAATATAATCTATGAAATGTATGCATACATCTACACCCATTTAAATAATTACTGACCGCTTTTTAGTGTGCCACATAATGTCCCTGGTGCAGTTGGGAAGACAATAGGAAACAAAATAGAAAATCCTTGTGCTCCTGGAGCTTATATTTTAGTGGATGGAGAGAGACAATAAACAAACGTATTATAAATGGTGAAAGGAAGAATAAAACACTTAAATGGGAGAGACAGTTATGGAGGATGCTATTTAAGATAGGGTGTTCAAGCTCAGCCTTGGACAGGGGACATCTGAGTAGAGATCTGAATGAAGTGGGGACTTGAGCTCTGCAGGTGTGTGGGAACAGGTCTTTAGGCTAGCACAAAGGGCCAGATGCAAAAACATGTTTGACCTAAGTTGGAATAGCAAAGGTTGAAAAATCTTGTGAATGAATATTCCGTGATTTGTTGTGTGTGTGAGGAGGCATATTGACAGCATGTTTTCTCCAAACTTTCCCCAACAGACTTGTGTGATGGAATTTAGTATAGGCATGCAGAGATGTTTCCAAGTTTTTGTTGAGCTCTAACAAAATTAAACACCATTTACCCAGTTGGCTATAAATTATTCTTTGTTTTTGTCAGCTTGGTTTTGCATCGTATTCACTAAGTAGCAAATACTCCACCACATGTCAATATTACTTTTCATTTAGCTTTTTTTTTTTTTTTTGGTACCAGGGATTGAACTTGGCACCTTGTGCTTGTGAGGCTGGTGGCGGAACCACAGAACTAAATCCCTGGCCCTTCATTCAGCTTTTTAAAAATCAAACATAGATACCATGAAAATTACCAGTGTAATAAGTTAAGTGTGCATGCACATCATTATTATCATCTCCAATACTTGTTCATCTTCCCCAACTGACACTCTGAAATCTGTTGAAGCTAACTCCCCAGTCTTGACTACCCTTGGCCTCTGGCAACTACCAATCTATTTTCAAATATGCCTATGACTTTTTTTTTCTTCCTTTTTTATGGGGGACTGAACCCAGGGCCTTTTCATTAAGCTGCATCCTCGCCCTTTTAAATTTTTGAGACAGGGTCTCACTGGGGTGCCAGGTTGCCCAGGGTGGCCTCTAGGTTGACAGAGAAAAGGTATGTTGGATAGCAGTATAACAATTGGATGCTCCTAGATGGACAGTGGCAGAGGAGATCAGTAACAGCGATAAACAGTGAGCATCACGACTGACAGCAGAAGAGAAGCGACCCAACACCAACTGACAGAAAGTAATAAAGTTCTGTAAATTAGAATGGGATGGGGAGAGGGTAGAGAGAAGATTGCCAGCTACCTCTCACTTTGTGATTCTGAAATGGGGTATATCAGTTTAGGAAGATCTACTGTATAGCAAGTAATGTATGTTGTTTGATGGGGTTCAGCAGAGTTTGGAAGGTGTGCACTGTGTCTATTCCTACAGAAATAAACTGATTTTTTCAAACCAAGTTCCACATCATTTCCATTCACAGAATAAAGAGGCTTAATTGGATAACTGGATGTGTAATCAAACAATGTCCAACATCATTAAATTTTTATATATAATTTGTTTAGAAAGAAAAGGAATTTTAACATCTAGAATGTCCAATTGTCTGCTAGTTTAGGGTAACATGTACTTTTCATTTGTTGTTATACTACTGAATGTTTTGCCCACTTATTGTTTGAGATTCTTTCAGAGTACTGCATTTAGCTAATTTAGTTATAAAGCTTACGTAAGTGGATTGCATTAAAGTAATGAGTGAAAAATTGTACCATTTCATCATACTTTGATAAATTAAAATTGATCAATTTACTGCAGGTGAGGTAGCATATGACTGAGTTTCACAGCTACGTTACAGACAAATTTTAAGACAGCAGAGTTATGCTACTTTCTCTGATAATTGTTTGTTGTTTCCTTTTTGGGTGAAACTTCACTCTGCACTATAATTGAAATACTATTTTGCTTACAGAGAAAATATCTCTATGAGGACAGATCATTCAAGCAAAGCATTTATTGTGTTTTCTCGTTTCTTTATAGCAGATCTTATATTTATTTTAAGCATAGTTTAGATTGATAATGTACTTAGGCTTGATTTGCTCAGAGGTTAGAGAGGTGATAAATACAACTTAGATTGTGAATTTGGGCCTTGGTAAAGCCCTTTAATTGCTCTTTACAGGAATGATTACAACCAGTACCCAACAGTGTTACTACTAACTGCTTTGGGATATAGGCAGTATTCCTATCCCCTGCTAATCACACTGCCATAATATGTAATCAGGTTTAAGGAAGCAGCGGGAAAGATAATATATGTGGCTCAACAGGCACATCGCTTCTATTTAAAAAGGATTTCAGAAAAAATATCCAAGATAATGAAGACAAACCTGTTTTTTTTCTACAAAGCTTAGCTGTTTGATAAGCCTTGTATAGGAGATAGAATAAACAGGAATTTTGACAAAATTATAACCCAATTTGAGGTAATTTAAAAATGTGAAAAGGTTGACTCATTAATAGTGATGATATGTTCTCTTGTTTTAAAATGTTCCATTCTTTTTGATGTCACCGTTTTTTGTCTATACTGTGGAGAAGATTCTGGTGTTGAGTAGTTTGGAAATTCATAATGTTGATTGATTTGGTTTAATGCCTGCCCTCTGATGTAATTTGGATTATTTATGTTTAAATGGTCATGCCTTGGAATTGGGGGGGGGGTTGCATTAGAAGGATCAGATTAGGTAGGTTTAAGAAATTCAAATAGAAAAGAAATCTGCCAGCCAGAGCTGCATAGGGATTAAACTCTGGACACAACAGACATGGGAACAATGTGGATAAAGGAATAAAGAAAGACCTAAGGTCTAGATGAAGTGAAATATGAGGGAAGAAAAATACAGCAAGAATTAGATAGAGTCTTTTATTCAAAAGATATTAAAATACAGACGTGTGGTTGTAAGGCAAGTTGGACCACAAACTTGAGAATCTTACATGCTAGTTGGGGTATCTGCTGTGAAGACGAGGCTTTAGCAGGATGTTCTGTATTATGACCAAAAAATATATAGGATGCTACAGGAGAGGGGCAGAGCCTTTCTTAGAGTTACTGGAAGGCTTTTTATACTTTCATTGCCTAAGTTGAGAAGCTAAGGATGGGTCATTTAAAATAAAGCAGAACGACCCTAGACAAAAACATAATACTCACTAGACTGGCATGTATAAAAACAGGAATTTACAATAAATACAAGAGAAAATTTGATTGTAGTGGACTTGGAGATAGCCATGTCATGGAGTGGGGCACTACACAAGATTTTGGGACAGTAGAGTGGTGTAAATTGTGAGGAATTTGGATTTGCCTCAGTAGGTAATGGAAACTATTAAATGGTTTCTCTTATGTCCCATTTTGTAAAAAACTCAATTTTGCCCATAAAAGTGGTGTGACCTTTGTCCTTGCCTCTTATTTTTTTGGTACTGGGGATTGAACTCGAGACCTTGTGCTTGCAAGGCAGTCGATGGAATCACTGAGGTAAATCTCCAGGCCATGTCCTTACCTCTTTAATAATAATTTTTAGTCTCTTTGTTTTTTTGGCTGGAGGATTTGGGTGACAACTCTAATATTATTTAGGGTGGGGTCTGACCATATCTGTATAGTCTTAGGATAAGGATGCCCATGCCAGAAATATTACTTACATGACTCAGGGTGGGGGTTTTGGGTCCTGTGGAATTGGTGGATCTGGAAACTGAGCTCAAGTATGTGGGTGCCCAATCAGTCAGTCATGTCTGGATAATGGA